TGGGGGGAGGGTCAGAGGGAGAAGCAGACTCCCCGCGGAGCAGGAAGCCCGATGCGGGACTCAATCCCGGGACTCCAGGATCATGACCTGAGCCGAAGGCAGTCGCCTAACCAACTGAGCAACCCAGGCGCCCAAAATCCTCTTCTTACTATGGATTAGTTCCTTCATTTTTATAATTAACCATTTTATGTATTTTGGTGATCCCATGTTGGGTGCATAAAATTTACAATTGTATTTTCTTGTTAGATTGTCCACTTTTATTATAATATAGTGTCCTTCTTTGTCTCTCATTACAGTCTTGTTAAAGTCTGTTTTGTCTGACATAAGTATTGCTACTCCAGCTTTCTTTTGACATCTATTTGCATGATGTTTCTCCAGTCCCTTACTTTCAATCTGCAGGTCACTTCAGGTCTGAAATTAGTTTCTTGTAGGCAGCATAGAGATGAGTCTTGTTTTTTTATCCATTCTGTATCCCTATGTCCTTTGACTGGAGTGTTTAATCCATTTATACTCAAAGTAATTATTGATAGATATATATTTATTGCCATTTTGTTACATGTTTTCTGGTTGTTTCTATAGTTTTTCTCTGATCCCTTTAGCTCCTGCTATCTTTAATCATTTGCTGGCCTTCTTTAGTGATATACTGGGATTTCTTTTTCTTATTCTTTGCATATCTATTACTGGATTTGGGTTTGGGGGTTACCATTAGGTTTGTATAGAACATGGCATGTAACAATCTGTATGAAGTTGATGGTCACTTAAATTGGAACCCATTCCTTACTCTCTCACTCTCTCCCATTTTAGGTATGTGGTGTCATATTATAAATCCTTTTATTTTGTGAATCCCTTCACTGATATTTACAGATAGACTTATTTTACTTTTGTTGTGTTTTGTACTTTTCATATTCTCACTTATGGTCTTTCCTTTCCACTCTAAGATTCCCCTTTAATATTTTTCGTGGGGACGGTTTAGTGGTCATGAACTCCTTTAGTTTTTATTTGTCTGAGAAACTCTTTATCGCTGTTTCTATTCTGAATTATAGCCTTGCCAAATAGAGTATTATTGGCTGCAGATTTCTCCCTTTCAGCCCTTTGAATTTATCATGGCACTCCTTTCTAGCCTGCAAAGTTTCTGCTGAAAACCAGCTGATATCCTTATGGGGTTTCCCTTGTATGTAATAGTTTTTTCTCTTGCTGCTTAAAAAATTTTCTCTTTATCACTACATTGTGATTAGCAGATGTCTTGGTGTGGACCTCCCTGGGTTGATTTTGTTGGGGGATCTCTGCTTTCTGGATCTGGATATCTGTTTCCTTTCCCAGATTAGGGATGTTTTCAGCTATTATTTCTTTAAATAAATTTTCTGCCCCCTTTTGTCTCTCCTTCTTTTAGGATCCCTATACTGTGAATATTATTATGCTTGATGAGGTCACTGAGTTCCTTAAGTCTGTTCTCATTTTGTATATATATTTTTTTCTCTCACTTACTTTGCTCAAATACTTTCCATTATTCTGTCTTCCAGGTTATTAATTTGTTCTTCTGCTCCCTCTAGCCTGCTATTTATTCCATCATGTGTATTTTTAATTTCAATTATCATATTATTGATCTCTGATTGTTTTCTTTTTAATCTCTTTGTTAAGGGTCTCATTGACGTCTTCTATTCTTTTCTCAAGTCCACTGAATATCATATAATCATTACTTTAAATTCTCTATCAGGCATAACACATCTGTTTCACTTAGGTCCCTTGCTATGATTTGTCTTGTTCTTTAATTTGGGACATATTCCTCTGTTTCCTCATTTTGCCTAACTCTCTGTGACTGTTTCTGTGTGTTAGGAAAGTTGGTTACATCTCTTGCCCTTGAAAGTAGTGGGGCATGCTCTTTTAATAAGGCTGTGTCTGTCTTCTTCCCACAGGGATGCGTAGCCACTGCTGAGACTGAGCCAGCCACAGCTGCTCAGGGGAGTGCAGTCTTAATAATATGGACTCGTCCTCTGCAAGAATTCAGGAGATGCAATGTTGGCATGGTTTGCACTGGTTTTCTGGGGAGGGGATCCACAGTTTTGGGACTGAGGCAGCCTCAGCTGGAGGGGGGAAGGGATGGTTTAGGGAAGTTAGGTAGTGAACGCTAGTGCCTGGCTGGTTCCTACATGTGGCTATGTGATTATGCTGTGGGACGGGGAAGGAAATGGCACCTGCTAGCTCCTTTTTTCCTGGAGAAGTTCCTCAGTGAACTCTGGGATTACTAACTAACTCTCCCTCTTATATGCCCAAATATTTTTGAAACTGCTGCTTCTAAGCTGTATCTTACTAGCAGTTGTGCTTTCTCTTTAAGGCTGGGGACTCAGCTTCCTAATACCCTCCAGGGTCTTTTAGAGTGGAGCCACTGATTTTTGAAAATTCTAGGGTTAAATCCTGCTGGTTGTAAGAACTCATGAAATCTGGCCCCTCTGATTTTCAAAGCCAAATGCTATGGGGATTCATCTTCCCTGTTCAGGGTCTCCAGTGTGATAGTCTATTTCTTACCCGTCTCTGTGCCAACAGACCACCCCCATCCCATGGATGGCACACTATCCATTTAGGTCCCTACGGTGTCTCCACCCTTCCTACCCTCTTCGATGTAGCCTTTTCTCTACATTTAGTTGTGGAGTTTGTTCTGCCAGTCTTTGTGTCTTTTTCTGGGTTATTTGCACTGATGTGTTATCTATTTGTTTCTGTGGGATGAGGTGAAGTTAGGATCTTCCTACTCTGCCGTCTTCCCAGGAATTCCAATAGTGTCTTCCTTCTTGACATTTTAAGTTCAAAACTATGTTTAAAAAATAATCTCAGTGGATCTTAATTTATGGCTATAATTGCATCCATCAGAGCTTTCTGAGTTCTGTTTTCTTGTAGTTATTTTCTGTCTGTCCCTTTAGATCTGCCTTAGTGGGGATACCTCTTTGTATCATTCAAATTGGTCTTCCTCTCTGAAGTTACTTAGTCCCAGTAGATGGCTTGTTATATTTCTGTGCCTATTTATGAATGTGAGTTTCCTCAATACATTATAGTCCTAGATAGAGATCTCTTGAACAGTAGCTAGAAGGTTTTTGTCCTCGTTATTACCTTTTTCTGTTTTTATAGATGTTGTATTTGTATTCTCTCAAATTTCAATGAGAATAAAAATATAGATTTAAATCTTTCTTCTGTTTCTCTTCTCAGAAGAGAAACATTTGCTCTATACTTTGAAGATGATTTTCCATTTTCATTTAAAATTCATATTTTTCTGAAGAGAAGCAGTCATTTAAGTCAATATTTCTCTTCTATAATTTGGCATTCTCTTCATCTACTTTTAAGATTTTCTCTTTTCATTTGGTTTTCAACATTTCACTCTGATGTGTGTAGGCATGATTTTCTTTATATACATCAACTTGGGGGTTGCTGAGCATCTTGAGTATGTAAATCTTACCAAATTTGAGAAATTTTCAGCTACTTTTTCAACCATTTTTTCTATCACTTTCTCTCTTTTCCTTATGAGAAAGCAATTACAAGTTAGATATTTGATAGTATTCCAAATGTGCCTCAGTCCCTCTTCATTTTTAAAATATTTGTTCTTATGTCTTTAGATAGGTATTTTCTACTGATGTGTCTTCAAATGGTCTGACTCTTTCCACTGTTCTATCCAATTTGTACCTATGCTCATCCTTTAAATTTTTAAAATTCAGGTACTGTATTTTTCTCTACTGTAATTTACATTCGCTATTTTTTATAGGTCATAGTAATCTGCTGGAATTTTTATTATTTCCTTCATTATGAACATATTTGCCCTTACTTTGGGTATTGTTATAATAGCTGCTTTAAAATTCTTGTACACTAATTTTAAAATCAAATCTATCTTGGGATCACTCTCTGTAGATTGTTTTTTATCATATGAGTAAGTCTCATTTTGCTGTTTCTTTGTCAAGTAATTCTAAATTGTATTCTGAATATTGGGAATATCATGTTTTTCAAACTCTGGATTCTGCTATATTCTTCTAGTATGGTTTATTTTTGTTTGTTTTGCATTAATATACTTAACATTATTGGATGCAAAATGAAAATTCTGTGTTTAGGCAGCAGCTCAAATTTCATATCAGTTCTTTTAGGTTTTGGTAGGCTGCTTAGTCTTCCCTATGTGTATGTGGTTCAGGGCTTGGGGGGGCGGTTGGGAAGGGTTTATACAGAGTTTGGGTCTCCTTCTCTCATTCTCTCTTCTTTGTGTGACTGCCCCTAAGTTTTTCAGTGGTTATGATTGCCCTGATTTCCTTCCTTTGGTTTGTAAAGTGTAAAAACTCATTTTTTTTTTCTTTATCAGCTATTAGATGCCCTGTCTGGCCCAGGTAGGGCTTGCCCTCAGACTAGAAGCCAGGAAACAAGAATCTTACCTAGGACTCTTTCTTCTTCCAAGCATCACCTTCTCTCAAGAATCTACCTATTCTTGGTTGCTATCCAGTGTTGATATTTATATTTTGTTCCGGGTTTGTAGTTTTTATGTGTGGCAGGGTCTGTCCTGTAGGAACTTGCCCTGCTATACCAGAAACAGAGCTGGGATTTTAGATATGATTCCTCAAACTGTCTCTGATCTGATGGAGAATTGCTGAGACATTTCATGTGTAACAGAATCCATTCATTCTCACAAAGTCAAAACTATGTTTATTTTTCACTAAGAGTAGAGTTGCTTCTTCTCATAAAATTTGAAATGTTTGTATTTAAATATTTCAGGCCTAGAGAAAAGGAAAAATGAAATATTTAACTTACTGTAGTAATAATTTATCAGATTCAAGTCAGTTTTCCTGTAGAAAATCAATAGGATGATACAGCTGCAGAAATTATCCACCATTATTCCTGAGAAAAGTGCAAGTAATGTGTGTGCTTCAGTCATCATCTTGGCTATCTCTGTATTTTAGAAAGATAATAATTGTAACAATAAATTCATAGAAACAGAAATACTAAAATGAATGCATTTCCCCCCTTATATTACATCGTAGAAAGTAGCACACGCTCTGGAAATTGAGAACAAGGTCCTTCAGGAACAACTGAAACAGGCTCTCCAGGTAAATTACATTATGTTCTTTTAAAATTGTTAACAAGAGAAAGAAATATCTGTAAACAACTTTTAAATGAATAATTTTGACCTTGAAAACTAATAGGTTTATGTGTTGTACTATTTTTCCAGATTTAAAGTACTTTCATTTTATGTACTAGGAATATATTAATAAAATTTAATATTCATTCTTATTCAAAACAGTAAACTAGAAAGAAAAGTAAATTTCCTTAATCAAATAAAATAGATCTATTTCAAACTGAGACACTGTTATGTGGACAATAATGCAGGCATTCCAGCTCAATTCAATTAAACTAGGATATTGGTTTTTACTACTTTTTATGAAATTCTTGTTAAGTGATTAAGGAAATGAAAAAAGCTACAAACATTTTCATAAGTGGATAGACAAAAGTATAATTATTTTTATATCACTTTTCCTTTGAAAAAATGCAAGATAATACACTTAATGATATAAGTCCAAAATGTGGCTGAAGACAAAATAGATACAAAAAAGCAATGGAAGGAGGCTGGGAAAATGGCAGAATAGGAGGACCCTAAGCACAGCTCATCCTACAGATATAGCTAGATAACACTCATATCAGCATAAATAACCCAGAAAACAACCTGAAGCCTGGCAGAACAAACTCTGCAATTAAAGGTAGAGAAGAGGCCACATTGAAGAGGGTAGGCAGGGTGAGGACATGGTGGGGACCTAAACATGCATGTGGGACTGTCCCCAGGAGGAAGGGACACTGTGAGTAAAAAGAGGGAAGAGAAGCAGACTGTTACACTGGGGAGCCTACAGGGAGAAGACGAATCTCCATAACATTTGAGTTTGAAAACAAGAGTCTCCAAATTTTGTGAGTTCTTACAAGTAGCAGGACTTAACGCCTGGAATTTTCAAAATGAGCAGGCTGGCTCTGAGAGAGCCCTGAGGGTATTAGGAAGTGGAGTCCTGTCTTTAATGAGACAGCACAATAAACAACTTACGGAGGTACAGCATAGTAGCAGCAGTTTGAAAAATGCTTGGAGTATATGGGAGGGAGAGTTATTTACTCATCTCAGAGTGGTGAGAATCAAAGGGAAACCCCTCCAGGAACAAAGGAGGTGTTAGGTGCCTTCACTCTTCCCTACCTTCCAGCATAAACATAAGGCCATCTCTAGGAACCAGCATGACGCCAACATTCAGTACCTTACACTAAGCCCCACCCTCTCACCCTTCAGTAGACCCAAACTTCCCATTTGCCTCAGTCCCAGTGCTGTGGGTCCCTTTCCCCAGAAGACCCATGCCAACTTCACCAATACCTCCTCTCTTGTTTTCTACTCTCATTTTGGTCCTCTTGGTCCTGGCAGTGGTGGCAGGCCCTATGGAAGCCCAACCTGCAACCTTGTTAAAATTGTGTGCCCTACCCATGCAGCACTGGTCCACTGCCACAGAAGCAGTGACAGGTCTCATTTCACTAACAGACTGGTGTGTACCTTGTAAAATGTGCTCCACCACAGCCAGGGACCAAATACTGTCAACAATAGGCAGAGAGTTCTGCAGATGACTGAAGGTTGATAGATAAAGAAGATGTTATATATATATAACATGTATGTTATATATATATGTTATATGTGTTGTGTTACATATATGACTATATATATTATATATATATATAATGCAATATTATTCAGCAATAAAAAAGAACAAAATCTTTCCATTTGCAACAATATGGATGCAGCTAGAGAGTATAATGGTAAGCAAAGTAAGCCAGTCAGAGAAAGACAGTTACTATATGATTTCACTCATATGTGGAATTTAAGAAACAAAACAAACAGGGACGTCTGGGTGGCTCAGTCAGTTAAGCATTAGCCTTGGGCTCAAGTCATCATCCTGGGACCCTGGAATCAGTCCCATGTCGGGCTCCCTACTCAGCAGTGAGCCTGCTTCTCCTTCTGCCTCTCCCCTCTGCTCATGCTCTCTCTCTCAAATAAATCTTTAAAAAAAGAAAAAACAAACAAAGGAAAAAGAAGAGAGAGAGACAAACCAAGAAACTTAACTTCAGAGAGCAAACAGATGGTTACCAGAGGGGAGGTGGGTGGGAAGGTGTGTGAAATAGTGGAAGGGGATTAAGAGTACACTTATCTTGGGGCGCCTGGGTGGCTCAGTTGGTTGAGCGACTGCCTTCGGCTCAGGTCATGATCCCAGGGTCCTGGGATCGAGCCCCGCGTCGGGCTCCCTGCTCGGCGGGAAGCCTGCTTCTCCCTCTCCCACTCCCCCTGCTTGTGTTCCCTCTCTCTCTGTCTCTCTCTCTCTGTCAATTAAATAAATAAAATCTTAAAAAAAAAAAAAGAGTACACTTATCTTGATGAGCACTGAGTAATATATGGTAAATCACCATTTTGTACACCTGAAACTAATACAACACTGCACATTAACTACACAGGAGTTAAAATTTAAAGAAAGGAAAAGGAAAAAAGCAGTAGGTTTCCTTTTTATACAAAACAACCATTTAGAAATGATAATGAAGATGATTCTATTTATTTACTTATTTATTTATTTTGCTTATTTTATTTAAATTCATTTAGTTAACATATAGTGTACCATTAGTTTCAGATGTAGAGCTCAATTATTCATCTGTTGCATATAACACCCAGTGCTCATTACATCAAGTGCCCTGCTTAACGCCCATCACCCAGTTACCCCATCCCCCACCCACCTCCCCTCCAGCAACCCTCAGTTTTTTCCCCATAGTTAAGAGTCTCTTATGGTTTGTCTCTGTCTCTAATTTCATCTTACTTTATTTTTCCTTCCCTTCCTCTATGATCCTGTTTTGTTTCTTAAATTCCACATATGAGTGAAACCATATGATAATTGTCTTTCTCTGATTGACTTATTTCACTTAGCATAATACCCTCCAGTTCCATCCATGTCATGTAAATGGTATGATTTTATCCTTTTTGATGGCTGGGTAATATTCCATTGTATGTATGTATGTGTATATGTGTGTATATATATATATATATATACACCACATATTCTTATCCATTCATCTGTCAACGGACATCTGGGCTCTTTCCATAGTTTGGATTGTGGACATTGTTGCTATAAACATTGGGGTGCAGGTGCCCCTTCAGATCACTATATTTGTATCCTTTGGGTAAATACCCAGTAGTGCAATTGCTGGGTTGTAGGGTAGCTCTGTTTTTAACTTTTTGAGGAAACTCCCTACTGTTTCCCAGAGTGGCTGTACCAGCTTGCATTCCCACCAACACTGTAAGACAGTTCCCCTTTCTCTGTATCCTCGCTAACATTTCTTGTTTCCTGACTTGTTAATTTTTGTCATTCTAACTGGTGCGAGGTGGTATCTCATTGTGGGTTTGATTTGTATTTCCCTGATGCCAAGTGATGTTGAGCATTTTTTCATGTGTAGAGATGATTCTATTTATAATACTCGAGTAGCATATTTAACAAAACATACAGAGTTTTTTTTTAAATGAAGAAAAACATACTTTACTGAGGGATATAGATGAATAGTGAAGAAATAGAAATTTATGTTTTTGGTTTTGAAGGTTCAATATTATAAATATTTCAATCTTCTACTTTTTTCCAAATTGATATATAGATTTAAAGCAATTTATTTCTGGATGTAAATTGAATTATTTTTTAATTTAACAGAATTATTACAGAATATATTGAGATAAGAAACTGGTGACTATACAAAAGAATAATAAGGATTTGGTCATTCAAAAATCAATATGTAATGTAACACACCCTAATAACTAAAGCAATGTGGTTCTGGATTTGGTTCTGAATAAAAAATCCAGAAACAGATTCAAAGGAATGTAATAATTTAGTATATTGTAGTTTTAGTTATTGAAACTTTTTTATAGAAAGACAAAATAGTCACAAAAAGTAAACTACTATGAAAAACTAGTTCTCATGTAATAGTTTGTGACATACATCAAAATAAGTTGCAGCTTGATTTAAGATCCAAAATTAATAAATGAAGTATGATGTTAGAATAAACACTGGGTAACAGTTATATGGTCTTGGCTAGAGCAAGGTTTTCTAAGCATCATATTGCAAAGGAATATTGCAATATATTTGGCTATTATTAATTTAAAACTTGTATGGTAAAAGATTCATTAGATATAAAGATAAATGCAAATTCTTAACAGAATGTTTTATATGATGATCTTTTACAAATCTATAAGAAATATGAATGCCCTTCCCCCAAATATTCCCCCAAATAGACACAAAAGGGACGTCATAACTTAGAAACACACAAGGGCAATAAATGCATATGAATATATCCAACCTCACTAGTTATCAAATAAATACAACTTAAAATGACAGTGTGATAGATTTTTTTTTTACTTACCATTTCAATAAAAATTTTAGGAACAGAAATGTCTAATATTTGCAGATATATGCTAAAATAATTTTTTATATAATTCTATTACTATGAATCAATACTGCTCTGGAAGAAAATATATAGCAAAAGTTTTGGGACAACATAGGCTTTTCATTGAATCATTGCAGTTACAAAAATTTATCATAAGGAAGAAAAGGGTGTACAGGGATTTTGTATAAGTATGTATAATATAAAAAATTTTAATAGCAAAAATTTTTAAATTTTTAAATTACCAATAATATTACCAATATTTCTTATTGTCCCTAATAAGAAATTTGCTGAATAAAAGTATACTATTAAATGTACTTCTCTCAGCTATTCTGATTTAGATGTACATTTATTGTCATTGGAACATATCTATGACATTATTTAATAAAAAGAGCGTATCATGTATGTATAGTAGGAGCCTAAAAATTTTAAAAATACATATATGCGCTAGTTGTATTTAGAAATAATGAAAATGGATATATATCAAATCTTAACAGTGAGTTTTCTGTTTGTGGTGAGATTATTTGTGAACTTTATTTTTGTTGATCTAAGTAAAAAATTATTAAAAGCGGCATTTAAAAACCTTATATTCTAGAAGAAATAAATTATTTCCCACATTTTCTTTTATTATTTGATACTATAGGTATTAATTACCTTGGTTACATTCTATCACCTTTTCTAATGTATACCTTTTATTTAGTTTTATTATGCCTCTATATTAATTAGAGCTTTAAAAAAATAATAGGAGAACTTCCTGGGATATAAAAATGCCCTCAAAGTGGACGGCATTTCTTCAGTTTTTAATTTTAATCTATGGGTTAATTCAACTATGGACTATACCAGTGGTTTAATTCAGCTTCTCCAATTTAGTAAAATTAAAATTGAGAAGTAATGTGGACATGCATATATTCTTATTCCTGAAAGTTGTAATATTGACAGAAAAATGTCACACATAATGCTTGATAAACCATTACCTTTTTAAAAACAGGAAGCTGAAAGAGCGAAGCATCAACTTGACTATTTCCTGAATCAAGGGAAAGAATTACTTAAAAGTGAAGGGAAGACCAAGACAACAATGGAAATGGGTATTAGTAAAATAAACGTTGAAGATTCAAAAGATATACCATTGGAGAGAGGAAGAAGGAAATCACTAGTTACAGATTCAGGTGGACAAAAGACAAATTCTAAAATCCAAGAACATCTACAGGTAAGGAAATTACTGAAATAGAGAAAACAGTAGAGACAGAAAAAACAGTAATCTGTGCTGTAAGATTCTCTTTTATATTGTTGTTTACTTCATTTGCAAAAAAACTCTATGCCCTGTTTTTTTGCTTGGACCTTTTGTCTTTTACCTTTGGTTATAGCAATTTATTGTCTTGAATACAAATTTATAAATTAGGTATGTATTGGTTTTGAATGATGATATAAACACCCGAGATTTGAGAGCCAGAAAAAAATAGGATTTCATAGACTAAAGATTTTTGCTATAAATTAACAAAATTAAATATAAATGCTAAACTATGGGGAAACATTTTCAAATTTATCTTTTTACTGAAGTACAGTTGACACACAATGTTGTATTAGTTTCAGGTGTACAACATAGTGACTTGTTAAGTATGTATGTTATGCTTTGCTCGCTGCAAGTGTAGCTATTATCTGTGGGGAAAAATTCTTGAAAAAATGTATTTTTGTTTGTGTTGTGCAGTGGATTCAGAAGCTCTTTCTTGAACATTGAGATTTATTAATTTGTGCCTTAGAAGAAAATAACAGTCTACACATAAGCAACTTTATTAACAATTAATGGAAAAAGTTCAAGAAGTAAAGCAAAACTGTCAAGAATATAATTTTACTTGTCTTTGTTCTAGCAGGAAAGCTATTATCAGGTCCCTCATTTCTTTAATATTTTATATTCTTTAGTGTCCTTCCTTCTTGTTTTCAGAATAAGAGTTTATGTGTATAAGAGATAGCATAGTAAAACTAGCAAATGGGAAATTAATAAAGTAAAATTAAAGGCCAATACTCTGGCTTTTTTAAGGAGACTATCATCACACAGTAATTTTATCCTTATTTTAATCTTTTTTGTAAATAATTTTTTAAGTTTTTATTTAAATTCCAGTTAACATACAGTGTAATGTTAATTTCAGGTGTACACTTTAGTGATTCAACTCTTATATATAACATCTGGTGCTTATCACAAGTGCTCTCCTTGATCCCCAACATCTATTTAATCCATTGTATATAATTTTAATTGCAAACTATGTCAGTTTCTTCTTGGAAAGATAAAAAATTGCTCTTAGTGAAAAAGAAATTATTAAGGTTATTAGGGTTTTTTTGTTTTTGTTTTTTGCCCTGAATTGAATACAAAAGCAAATTTTTTAGAAATGCATGTTTCTGTGAACTGGCTTAAAACAAAGATAAAGTGTGGCAGCACAATTTAAAATGTGCTAGGCATTTTATATCCTCTATCATTATAAAATATGCTGGTGATCTTATGTATATGTGCTAGTCATTTACACAGTAAGTAATAGGTACATACTATCTTACTACTATCTTGCTACAATAAGTAGCAAGATAGCTATAAGCACCCCCATTTTGAAGATGAAACTGGAGCCTAAATAAACGAACTATGCAACATCATAGTAATGTTGAATTAGACTTCAAACCTAGGTCTTTCTGGCTTCAAAATCATGTCAGGATATCTTCTTTTCCTGTCTGTGTGGCTGCATTTGAACCCTCACTTTGTTAATAGGCTAGTGTTTTTTTATTTCCCAGGATTTTCCCCATAACCAAAATAAAGTCTGTCATATATGACGAGTTAAATAGAAAATGTTAGATTAAAAAGTAAGATGATTTTGAAAGAGCAACTTCATTACCTGAAGCATTTTACCAGGTAACTTCATCACCTGCAACCTGGGCAAGTGATTTTTATTTTTAGTGGCTTTTAAATAGATTAACACGCACCTCTCTTATTAAATATTCAGTTTAACAATCCTTATAAAACACCTACTATATACTAGGTTCTTTCATGGATGTTGTATATAGTATCATTTATTTGGATTGGCCTGCTCTGGTAATAATGAAACAGGAATCATTACTGAGGATTTTGATGGAATAGAAGTTGTTCATACTCACTGTCTCCATGTTCTTATAGTAATTCTTCACTTAAGTGTAACCTTTTTTCCCAACTACTATATTAAAACTATTTTTGCCAAGGTCACAACAAATTTACTTGATCTTATTCTGAAGGATGCTTTATAGTTTTATCTCACTTATCCTCTTAGCATTACTTGATCATGTTTGACCATTTCTTTCCTTCTTTCTTTTTTTTTTAAAGATCTTATTTATTTGAGAAAGTGAGAGAGAGAGAGAACAGAAGCAGGGGGAGGGGCAGATGGAGAAGGAGAAGCAGAGTCCTCGCTGAGCAGGCAGCCTGATGTGGGGCTTGATCCCAGGACCCCGGGATCATGACTCGAGCCGAAGGCAGACGCTTAACCGACTGAGCCACCCAGGCGCCCCCTGACCATTTATTTTTAATGTAGTCTGCATTTTGTTTTAGAGACAGAATAATTACTTGGTTTTCTTTATATTTCTGTGTTTTGGTCTCCTCTTGTGCTGCCCATTTTTTAACTGTTGGTGTTTCTCTGAGTTTTCTCTCCTGGATTCTCTTTTTATTCCACATACTCTTTCTGAGCATGCTTATATACCTTTATGGCTTCAAGTGCCAAATAAATCTTGTGTCAAACCCAAATATCACTTAATTGCCAGACCTATTATCTATCAGCTTACTGAATTTACCTACTGAAATGGTCCACAACATCTAGAATTCATCATGTCCTAAAAGGAACTAATTGCTTTCTTCTTAGACTGCTTATTCTCCCACTAGTCACAATTTCCTGGCATCCTCATACACCTAATTGCTGAAACTAGAATCTTGGGAATCATTTTTGTCTCTTCTTTTTTTTTAATCAATCCAGTTATTAGCCATAAAATTTTGCCCATTTTTTCCGGTTTTCCTGGCAATTCCCAGGATGCTACCAGGATTCTAATTGCTGTCCTTTTGTCCAGAATTTACTGTCTTCTGTCCAGTCTCCATGTTGATGTCTAGTCATCTTTCAAATTGAAATCTGTTCATGTTAACCTTCTTGCCTAAAATTTTTAATGATTCCCATTATTCTTTGGTTGAAGTACAAATTCCTAATTATGGGTTAAGGTGTCAGATCTGGTCCTTTCTTGAGATGCCAGCCTCATTTTTAATTAGCCCTCACCCCCCCCACCCATTCATTGCACATGACTTCATAAGCATGAGTGTGCACACACACGTACAAACATATATTTATGCTTTAGCTACATTGAACTTCCTTAAGTTCATGGAACACACTATGTTTTCTGTCACCTTCATGATTTTGCATAATTTGCTCTCTTTGTTTTCAACACTGTTTCTCCCTCCCTTGTTTCTTAAAATTCATCTGGTTAAAAAATGAATGAAGAACAAAAAGTACTATGTTATCTTTTGGTACATAATAAATTACTCCAAAACTTAGTGGCTTAGACAACAAACGTGTATTATTTCATAGTATCTGTGAGTCAGAAATCCAGAAAGAAGGCTTAGCTAGGTCCTCTAGTTCATGGTCTCTCACAAAGATGCAATCAAAGTGTTATCAAAGAAAAATCAGAGCTGGGCAGTCAAGTGGTAAAAACAGATTTTTGTTCAAAGCCATTGCAATACGAGAAAAGAGACCTCAGTGTAGAACTGTGTTCAATTCCTAATACACCATGGGAAAGTAGAAATTTATAGCCGAAGAGTAGGTTGGTGGACAGTGGAAAATTACTAAGAGGAAACACTGGGGGGTGTAAGGGAGATTCTGGCTGAACTGACCTAACAGGATCTTTGCCAAAGATAGGCAAGAGTGATCAGCTATAGAAGCGCCTGGGTGGCTCAGTTGGTTAAGCGACGGCCTTTGGCTCAGGTCGTGATCTCAGGGTTTTGGGATCAAGCCCCACATCTGGCTCCCTGCTCACCAGGGAACCTGCTTCTCCCTCTCCCGCTCCATCTGCTTGTGCTCTCTCTCTCTGTCAAATAAATAAGTAAATTCTTTATTTTTTTAAAATTTAATTTAATTTTATTATGTTGTGTTAGTCACCATACAGTCATTGTTAGTTTTTGATGCAGTGTTCAAAAAAGAGTGATCAGCTATCACCTGGGGGATAGTGAAGGATGAGGAACCTGATTAAGTATTGAGGGAGATCAATTATGGAGAATGGGGCACTGTTGCTAAATTGACTTATTAGGATTCTTACTAAAATTGGATTTTAAAAGGAAGTGGACAACCTCTCCAACGTTCATTGTTTCTTGCCTTGTCAATTTTTGCCATTCTAACTGGTGTAAGGTGGTATCTCAATGTGGTTTTGATCTGAATTTCCCTGATGGCTAATGATGATGAACATTTTTTCATGTGTCTGTTAGCCATTTGTATGTCTTCTTCAGAGAAGTGTCTGTTCATGTCTTCTGCCCATTTTTGGACTTGATTATTTGTTTTTTTGGGTGTTGAGTTTGAGAAGTTCTTTATAGATCTTGGATACCAGCCCTTTGTCTGTAGTGTCATTTGCAAATATCTTCTCCCATTCTGTGGGTTGCCTCTTTGTTTTGTTGACTGTTTCCTTGGCTGTGCAGAAGCTTTTTATCTTGATGAAGTCTCAAAAGTTCATTTTTGCTTTTGTTTCACTAGCCTTTGGAGATGTATCTTGAAAGAAGTTGCTGTGGCCGATGTCAAAGAGGTTACTGCCTATGTTCTCCTCTAGGATTTTGTTGGATTCCTGTCTCACATTGAGGTCTTTCATCCATTTTGAGTTTATCTTTGTGTATGGTGTTAGAGAATGGTCAAGTTTCATTCTTCTGTATATAGTTGTCCAATTTTCCCAGCACCATTTATTGAAGAGACTGTCTTTTTTCCATTGTGTATTTTTTCCTGCTTTGTCAAAGATTATTTGACCGTAGAGTTGAGGGTCCATATCTGGGCTCTCTACTCTGTTCCATTGGTCTGTATGTCTGTTTTTGTGCCAGTACCATGCTGTCTTGCTGATCACAGCTTTGTAATAGAGCTTGAAGTCTGACATTGTGATGCCACCAGCTTTGGTTTTCTTTTTCAACATTCCTCTGGCTATTTGGGATCTTTTCTGGTTTCATATAAATTTTAGGATTGTTTGTTCCAACTCTGTGAAAAATGCTGGTGGTATTTTGATAGGGATTACATTGAATGTATAGATTGCTTTTGGTAGCATAGACATTTTTTAAAAAAAATTTTATTATGTTATGTTAATCACCATACAATACATCATTAGTTTTTGATGTAGTGATCCATGATTCATTGTTTTTGTATAATAGACATTTTAACAATATTTGTTATTCCATTCCAGAAGCATGGCATGTTTTTCCATTTGTTTGTATCTTCCTCAATTTCTTTTATAAGTGTTCTCTAGTTTTCAGAATACAGATCTTTGACCTCTTTCATTGGGTTTATTCCTAGGTATCTTATGGGTTTTGGTGCAATTGTAAGTGGGATTGATTCCTTGATTTCTCTTTCTGCTGCTCCATTATTAGTGTACAGAAATGCAACAGACTTCTGTGCATTGATTTTATATCCTATGATTTTGAAGCAATCCATTTTTATTGTACATTTTGTTCTTAGGTTAGATTTATAGTTTATAATTGTAAACATTTAGCAGCTATAACGTAAG